GCGAGGGGGCGGGGAAACTCGAGTGGATGGAGGGGGCGTGGCCTTTCTAATAGAGGAGCTGAGCTAGGACCGTAGGTTGCCGGGCCAAGAAGGCATGGAAGGCGGCCTGAAGGGCGGGGTCTAAAGGGAAGAGGGTGGGGCCTTTATGGAAGAGGCGCCAGGCCTAGGGTAGGGTGAGGGGCTCAGGGAGAGAATGATGAAACAGCCTAGGTAGAGAGGATGGGGCCGTGGATCTCAGAGTGGTTTGGGGTGGAGCTTGAGGTGGCACTGAGAGGACGGTATAAAGATTCTACTGCTGAGAGGTAGAGTATGAGCCTAGATTCTCAGAGGGAGTGAGAAATGGGGCGGGAGGAAACTACTCAAAGTTTGAGACTAGGGGAAGAGCTCAGACATGGGTGGGGCTTAAGCCAATTTAGACTTATTCAGGTTGGGCGGGGTCAGTCAGAGACAGAGAAGGTAGAGGCACAACCTTATCGAGAGTAGCGCAGAACAGGCAAGGGAGGAGGCGCGGCACAGAAGATGGACGTAACCTGGAGTAGGGGGCTGGGCCTGTAGTTAAGAGGCGGGGCTAGAGGCGGGGCTAGAGGCGGGTCCAGGACTGTCCCAATATTAGAAGCTTGTGAGGCTGTGGGTTTGAATGAATGAGCGGAACCTGGAAGAGAAGAAACTAAAACAATTAAGGATTTAAAGCTTTTGAAACCGGGGACGGGACCACTGATATGAGCGGAGCTTGGACAAAGCAGGGCTGAGGACCCGAAGCCTAGGGTTGTACTGAGAATACGAATTCTAGAGATCGTTTCTCTGTAACCCTTGTTTACTTCTGTGACTCAGTTTCCTCTTCAGTAAATTGGAGAAGATGATATGAAACAGTGTGTAGCTCATGATAAGTGCTAGTGTGTTATTATTATTATTTTTCCCTGACCCAAACTTCAAATCTCGCTTTGAAGGTGCGAGAAAGGAGACCGAGGAGTTCAATCCCTTCTAGTGACTCGACTTGAGTGTAGGTCAAGGGCATAGGAAGATTTAGGTGGTTTAAAATCTCAACGGTGGAGGGGATTAGTGGAGGTGACGAGGGTGAGGGAGCGGTTAGCAGGTGCAGAGGGTGGAGTCTTCCTGATCCCCAGGCCGAAGGATGGCGGCCCTCGCCCGCCTGCTGGAGCGTCTTCTCTGGCCATCTCGCAAGGAAGAAGAGGCGGAGGAGGAGGAGGAAGAGGAGGGGAGGTCTCCGGACAGGCCTCAATCCCTTCTGGACGCGCCGCGCTGCGCCCAGCGGCCGCACGGGGGTGTGGCGGCGTCGTGTGCCCTGAGCTTCGGGGCGAGCTCAGTGCAAGGCTGGGGAGCACACATGGAGGACGCGCATTGCGCTTGGCTCGCCCTACCCGGGCTGCCCCCAGGCTGGTCTTTCTTC